TCCCCATCCTCCTCCTCCTCCTCCTCCTCCTCTACCTCCTCCTCCTCCTCCTCCTCCTCCCCTCCTCCTCCTCCTCCTCCTAATCCCTCCTCCCACTCCTCCTCCTCCTCCTCCTCCTCCTCCTCCTCCTCCTCCTCCCTCCTCCTCCTCCTCCTCCGCGGTCGCTCCCCCCCCCGGCCAGGCCGGGGGACCTCCGCGGTGGTGCCCACGCCCACGCTCCTGCGCGCCGCGGGCGGCGCGCCGCTGAGGGCCGTGGCCTGCGGGGGGTCCAACACCTTCCTGCTCCGCGAGGGCGGCGAGGTCCGCGCCCTCGAAGAGCAGCGACGACAACGACGACGGCGACGACGACGACGAAGACTTCGAAGACGACGAGGACGACGAGGTAGACGACCACGACGACGACGACGACGACGACGACGACGACGACAACGAGGTGGACGACAAGGTAGACGACGACGACGAGGTAGACGACGAGGTAGACGACGACGAGGTCGACGAGGAGGTAGACGACGACGACGACGACGACGACGACGACGACGACGACGACGACGGCGGCGGCGACGACGACGACGACGACGACGACGACGAGGACGTCGACGACGACGAGGAGATAGACGACGACGAGGTAGACGACGAGGTAGACGAGGACGTAGATGACGTGGACGAGGACGACGAGGTCGACGACAAAGTAGACGACGAAGATGACGACGAGGTAGACGACGAGGTAGACGACGACGACGACGACGACGACGACGACGACGACAAGGTAGACGACGAGGTAGACGACGAGGTAGATGACGACGAAGACGTCGACGAAGACGTCGACGAGATAGACGACGAGGTAGACAACGAGGTAGACGACGACGTAGACGACCAGGATGACGAAGGCGACGAAGACGACGAGGTAGTCGACGAGGTAGACTACAAGGTGGACGACGAGGTAGACGAGGACGTAACGGCGACGACGAAGACGACGACCAGGTAGACGACGACGACGACGAGGACGTCGACGACGACGACGAGCTAGACGACGAGGTAGACGACGAGGTAGACGAGGACGTAGACGACCAGGACGACGAAGACGACGACATAGACGACGACGACGACGACGACGACGACGACGACAAGGTAGACGACGACGAAGACGGCGACGTAGACGACGACGACGTAGACGACGACAACGACGACGACGACGACGAGGACGAGCACGACGAGGTAGACGACAAGGTAGACGACGAGGTAGACGATCACGACGACGACGATGACGAGGTCGACGACGAGGTAGACAACGAGGTAGACTACGAGGTAGACGACGACGACGACGACGAGGACGACGACGACGACGACGACGAGGTAGACGACGAGGTAGACGAGGACGTCGAAGACGACGAGGTAGACGACGACGACGACAACGACGACGACGACCATGGTCCCGAGGCCCCGCCAAAAAAACTGAACCCCACACCAGGACCCCCTGGATCATGGGAGCCCTGTTTCGCGGAAACATGAGACTCGGGCTCGGCGGAGCTATGGTTTGCCGCTGATCTCTGACGTGCCAGTATTGAATCTTGGTTTCCGTGGGATGTTTGCAGCGGGAGCCCACGTCAAATTTCAGCTTGGGTCTCGTCATTTTCCTCGCGGCTCCGTCAGGCCAGGAGGCCCCAGGAGGCCCCAACAGGCGCCTAAGAGGCCTCCAAGAGGCTCCCAAGTGACCCCCAAGAGGCCCCAAGACGCTCGAAGAGGGACCCAAGACGCTCGAAGAGGCGTCCGGGACGGCCAAGAGGCCCCCAAGACGCTCCAAGAGGCCTCCACTGGGGGACCCTTCCTCTGTGTGCTGCCCACTTCCCTGATCGAGGCAATTCCTCTGGGCATCGTTTCTGGATGGGCTGGTGGGTTTTTTGTCGCAACCGCAGGCGAAGGCGCCAGCGGCGAGTCGAGCCAGCTCGGGCTACGAACTAATTGCCTGCGCGCGCAGACACCGACAGAACCTACCGCGGGGGAAGCTGCTGCGCCGAGGGCAGATGCTGCAACCGCCGAGGGAAGCGAGGCAGCGCCGTGGGCGGGGACTGCAAGATGCTGGGGCTGCCAGGAAGCTGCAAGCGTGCGAGTACCCAGGGGCGTGACCACCGGGTATGTGAATTGGACCTTGTCGCCACCAGGCGCCAGAGGTCGGCGCGCCACAGACGTGGCGCAGCGCGGGGCTGCGTAACATTTCAGGCTGGTGGGGTTGCACGAAGCGTCTAGAATTTCAGTTTGGGTCTCGTCATTCTCTTGGCGGCCCCGTCAGGCCACCCCGAGTCACACCGAAAACCCGAGTCTTGCGTCTCGGCCGACGGTTCGAGGCCGGTTTCTCAGGTGGGCAGGAGCAGATGGGGTCGGAGGGCCCCGGACACCCGGCGTCTCGAAAAAAACGATACGAAGTGTTTAATCGTTTTTGTCCTCTCGAAGAAGTAAACACCATAAACATAAATGGTTGGCGCTCTGCGCGGATTTCTTGGATCCGCGTTGGGCCCCCCGGCGGCGCCCCCGGCGCCGCCCTGGCGCGCTCCGCGCGCCAGGGAGGGGGATCCAGCGCAGACCCAAGAAATCCACGCGGAGCGCCAAAAGCTGATGTTTATGGTGTATGGTTCTTCTTCTATCCTCTCAGGGCCCTTGATAGGCTTGGGGGGCGTCGAGGAAGAATTCGGGACGAAAAACCGGCCCCAGAGGAGGTGGTCGAAGAGTATCCGGAGCCCGTGCTTCGACCAAACGGAGACGCTTTAGGCGGATCTGCGCCGCACATCGGCGATGCGGCGCGATGCGGAGCCCGATTGCCTCCACGTTGGCGTTCCTGGTGCATCGCCGACGTCGCCGATGCAGCGATGCATCAGCGATGTATCAGCGATGCTGCCTGATCCTCCGACCCACCAGCTCGGATCCCGTGTGGGCGGCATCTGCCTGTGCACTGGCCCAGATATCCGACGTTTTTTTTATGCGGGCGTCATGCTTCGACCTCGGCCTACTTAGCTGGGGCCTGCTTTCGGGCCCCGGGGCCGTCAAGAACGGGCGCGGGGCGAAAAATATCTGGGCCCAGGGGTCGAAAATTTCAGTGGGGCAGCGGATTGAAACCATCATGTCGTCGAATGTCCAAGGTCCATCTCGATTCGATCCGATCGATCCGGTTCGACGTGGGTTCCGGCCAGCCCGATCCGATTCGACTTCGTTTTCTCGCCAAAATCCGATACGACCCGACGGTGACCTGGCTTCGGTTTGCACCTCTTGGAGCAGCCGATCCGATTCGATGATCGACTTCCAGCCAAGGCCCCCGACGTCATGATGTTTACATGACTTCGGTCCCCAGAGGCCTCGACCGATTCCCCCGGGACCGGCGTTTCATCCCGGATCGTTTTTTCACGGCCCCGAGGGCCAGCGAGGGCCCCCAGAGGCTGAAAACAGCGGAAAACCTTCCGCCGTGATTTTTGTTCCAGGGCTCGAGGGGGTCTGGGTGCCAATGCGGTCCGCTTCGACGTACAAGACGATGCGATCCGACTTGCGGATGCGATGCTGACTGCGCCTGGGTGTCTCTGGGGGTGCGCCCGGTGCACCGCCGCCGGCTGCGAACCCGGCAGAGGGGCACCTTTCCTGGGCCCGATGGTCAGGCGATCCCAGACATGGATCAAGGGGGTGTGGATCAGCGACGGGCCCCGTTTCCAGGGGACGTCGCGGACTTCCGCCGCCGAACGCGGCGGCGCTGGCCGCATTTTGCGGAGGGCACCTCCCCCGATCCATGGATTTGGCGACCGCGCGCCAAGTCCATGCATCGTTACTCCATCTTTGCGCGCCGCGGCAGCGGGCGCGGGGAAGGCGGCCGCCGGGCCCCGGCCAGGCGTCGATCGTCGGGGCCCAATGAGGCGGGGGTCCATGCAGAAGGGGGTCAGCCAGGGCACTGGAGCCTGCAGGATCCTGCGAAGACCCCCTCTGGCTGACCCCGGGGTGGCGAGCCGCCCGTGGCCGCGAGGCGGCCGCGCCTATTGGTCGACCCGGGTTTTGCGAAGCCTTGCGTTGCAGTTGTGTTGTTTCTTTTGCGCTGCAGTGCTTGGTTTCCAGATCCCCGAGATCGGAACAAGAAGTAAGTCGGGCATGTCCCTCTACAGTCTACGGGGGGAATTTTCAAAAATAGTCTCACATACACACACACACACACACACACACACACACACACACACAAACACACACACACACACACATACACACACACACACACACACACACATCGTCTGGGGGCGATTTGCCTATTGTGTTGTTTGATTACTTTGGCGCATGTGTTGGCTATGTTTTAGCATTCTTCCAGCGCCCGCCTGTCGGAGGACATGCCCGGCCCAAAATTAGATTCGGCACACGGCAGGTTCGCGTCGCGACGGCCAGCGGCGAATCTCCGCCGCTGGCGCCCCGCGTGAGACGCCGCTGGCGGCCCAGGCTTCGGCCTCGTGTCTTCTTCTCCAGCGCCGGGCTGTCCAACTGCAACTGCTGCTCGGTGCCTTGCGGCGCGGAGAGAGCGCTGAGGATGCGAGGCCACATCCCATCATAGCTCAGTGGCTGGCCGCGCATAAGAGCATAAAGCGTCCACGTCTTGAGTCGGTTGCTGTCCTCACTCTCGCTGGCTGCCGCCGGCGGCCCAGAATCGGTGGATGTTGGACGATTTGACGTGTCGGAAGCGGCCGATCGCCCAAGGCTGCACGACCCCCGTGGTGTCAGGAGCTGACGCGAAGTCGGCACGACGCGGACCCGCGGTATCCCATCGGTTCTCGCAGGTCCGCGCGGCGTTCTGGCATCGGCGCGCTGGGCCCTCGGCGCCTCCGGCGCCGCTCCCAGCACGCTCCTCTCGCCAGGGAGGGCGGGCCCAGCGCAGATCCAAGAAGTCCGCGCGGACCTCCGAGAAATGATGGTTCTCCTGCCTGCTCCTCCTCCCCCTCCTCCTCCTCCTCCTAATACTCCTCTATCCGCAAGAAATCAAGCCGAAGCTCCAATCGATCACTCCGCCGCCTAGCCTACTCGACTAATACTCAACTCCTAAATGAATGTGAACCCTCCCCATACTCTACAGAAATCCTCCTCTTCCTCCTAATCCTCCTCATCATAATATCACCTCATCCGAATAAGTAATCCCTACGATCATCCTCATAACCACGTCATCAATATCATTCTACTCCACCTCCTCAGAAATACCCATCCTTCCTAATACTCATCATTCCCATCAGGCATCATGCTACACATACTCACTAATACTCCGCATCCGACCCTCCTATCCTCCTCATATGCTATCCCCTCTTTCCTAATCTGTCCCCTCCTTACATCCTCCTCATCCTAATACGTATCTCCTCTACTGCGTCCGATCCTTCTCCTAACTACTGGGCGTCATCACTCTTCCTCCTCCGCCCGCATCCTAATACGCCTCCGTCTTAATCCGAAAATAATCCTGAATAAGACTCAATCAGTACTCCTGATAATCCTCAATAATAATCTACATACTAATCATTCCGTTCCTACTCCCTCTGCCTCATACTCCTCATCCTCCTCCTGACTCCTCCTCTCCTCCCATCCTGCTCCTCCTCATATCCTTCTCCTCCTCCTCCCGCACTCACTCCCTCCTCCCACCTCCTCCTCCTCCTCTCCATCCTCTCCTCCTCCTCCTCATGTGCTCCTTCTACTCCTCACTCCTCCTACTCATCCCTCATCCTTACTCCTGACCTCCTTCATCCATCCTCCGACTCATCAATCCTCCTGGTCCTCCTCTTCCTCCTCCTCCCCCTCCTCCCCCGCGCAGGTCCTGCTGCTGGGCGACCTCCGCCCCGCCTTCGGCGGCGACGACGACGACGATGTCGGCGCCGCCCGCCCGCTCTGGAGCCCCGGGCTGCGAGGCGCGCCCGCCGTGGCCCAGGTGGCCGCCGGCTGGCGGCACTGCCTGCTGCTCACCGAGTGCGGCCTCGTGTTCGCCATCGGCGACGACGACCACGGGCAGTGCGCCGGGGCCGGCCGCGGCCAGGCCGCGCTTGCGCTGGCGGGCCGCGCGGGGGCGCGCGCGTGCGGGGTGGCCGCGGGGGCGTGCCATTCGGTGGCGTGGCGCCCCGCCGGGGCGGATGAATAGGGGTCCTGAGGGAAGCGGGCCCCTGCGGTTTTTCTGGCCGCTTTCGGGGCCCATGGGGCCTCCCCGCAGAGGCCTCCCTGGGCCCTGGGGGCTGTGACAAAAAGGATAGGAAGAGCTGAATCCTGGGGGAAGGCCCGTATGGGCTCCAGGGCCCGTTTCCTTCCTGCTGCTGATGAGGTGCCTGTGTGGGTCCGCCTTCGCCTGGGGGCATGGCGGCAGCGGGCGCCTCGGGCTCGGGGACGCGCGCGGCCGCCGCGAGCCGGCGCTGGTCGATCTCCCGGAGGCCGTGTGCCAGGCGGCGTGCGGGGCCAACTTCACACTCTTCCTGACCGGGCAGGGCGGAGCCTTGTGGGCGTGCGGCGGGAACCAGCATGGGCAGCTCGGCCTGGGCGCCGACCTGGAACCCAGGGAGGGGCCCGAGCGCCTGGACCTGCCGCGCCCGGGCGAGGTGGTGGCCTCCATCGCCTGCGGGGACAGCCACACCGTCTGCCTCACGCGCCCAGCGGTGGGCCCTGGCTCTGCAGCACCGCGGCTGATCGCCTGGGCGTGGGGGTGCGCGAGCTCTGGCCAGTGCGGGCGCGCAGCGGGAGAGGAGGGCGCGACTCACCCGCGTGCGCTGCGCCGGTGCGCCCCAGAGCCGATCTTCGACTTCGTCGCCCCGTCGCCACACTGGCCGCTGGCCGTGGCGGCCGGCCGCGCGCACTCGGCCGTGCTGGCGTGCGCACGGCCAGAGCTGCCCGAGGAGTGCTCGCTTGCCAAGGGGGGAGGCGCCGCCCATGCGGCGTGCGCGTGCGCACCTGCCGCGCAGCTGGCGGCCGCACGGCCTTCTCCGGCGCCGCTTTCGGGGCTGGGGCCGGGGCCGGGGCCGGGGCTGGCGTCGGCGTCAGGGCCGAAGCCAGAGGCGGCACCAGCGCGGGGAGTAGGGCCGGGGGCGGGGCTGGCGCCGGCTTTGGGGCAAGCTTCAGCGCCAGCCTTCATGCCAGCCGCGGAGCCGAGGCCACAGGCGTGGTCGGCGGCCCTCGCCGAGGTCCCGCGCACGCCCTGCCGCGCGGCCCCGTCGGAGCTGAGCTCGCCAACCGCCGCTGCCTCGAGGGCAACGGCGGCACGCGCTGCGCCTCGGCCCACCGGCCGCACGATGGCGGCCAGCAGCAGCGCTCCATCCCTGCGCCGCGCGTGGTCGCCCCGGCGCGGCCGCGGCACAGAGGACGAGGAGGAGGTCATCAACGCCTTCTGCGAGTCGATCGCGCCCGCCTTCGCCCTGAGCCCCCAGAACGCCGCCGGCACGCTCCGGCAGGCGCGGCACCGCGGCGCGCCGTGCGCTGCCCGCGCCCAGCCCAGCGCCCCCGCGCGCCGCGGCGCGCCGAGGAGCGCCGTGGACTGGTGGCCCCTGGCGGCGCCTGCGCCCCCTGCGTGGAGCAGCGCGCCCCAGGAGTGGAGCCCACCGGCGGGCTCGGGCGCCCACGGCCGGGCTCCGTGCGAGGCCCGCGGCGCCCAGCGGCTGGGGCGCTGGGGCGCCCAGCCGCCGCGGTCCTCGTCGGCCAGCCAGCTGCTGCGTGCAGGCGGGCAGCCCACGCAGGGCCGCGGGGGAGGGTTGCGAGCAGCCGCAGGTGGCAGGCAGCAGAGGGCGGCGGCGGCGGCGGGACCTGGCGCGGGGCCTGGGGAGCACGGCGGCCGCGGCGGCTGGAGCGCCTCGGCGTCGCCCCTGGGCGGCATCCCGCTCCCGCCCGACGACGAGTGGAACGGGGTGCACGAGTCCCTGAGCGATCTGAGCTCCATGATCGCGAACCTTGGCTGTGCGGAGGTCGGCTCGTCTGCCGCCGGCAGCCCCACTGGCGCCCTGGAAGGTCTGTTGGACAGCCCGCTGGGTGGCTGCGACAGTGTGCCAGTGGAGGCGAGTGGCAGCCCGCGGCAGCAGCTGCGGCGACAGCTGCGCGAACTGCATGAGATCCGGGAGTGCCCAGGGCGCGCTGTGGCGTCGACAAGAAGCCCGCGACAGCAGTTGCGGCGGCAGCTGCGCGAGCTGCATGAGATGCAATTATGGCAGCGGCCGCCCGGCCGGGCGAGACGCGACGCGCGGCCACGGCCAGGAGAGGCGTCAGCGGAGGGCAGCGATGACTCGGGCTTCTTCACCCGCAGCAGCAGTGGCGGAACCCCGCGCCCGACGGCGGGCGCGTGCGGCCCTGACGGCGTCCACCAGAGCAGCATCGCCCCTAGGCCGACGCGGGCCGCCGCGCATCGCGCACCCGACGCCGACGAGGTGGACCGCGCTTTCTGCGCCGTCGGCAGGCTGAACAAACCCACGCCAGCCCCCAACCTGGGGCCAGAGATCCCACCTGCCCGGCGTGCCAACGCGCGGGAGGCGGCCACCCAGACTTGCACGGCCGAGGCGGCGACCCAGACGGCCTCGCCGCCTGCGGCCCTCGCCACGCCCGCGGGCTGGTTGCCGCAGGCCGCCACTGCGCCCCCCTGTCTGCCTCCGGCGCTCGACGTCGGCGCGGCGGCCCCAGGCGTGGCTCCCGCCGCTGGTGGCCCAGAAGTGGCCGCTGCTGTGGCCACGCCAGAGCCGCGGCGGGCGCTGGCGCAAGCGTTCACGGCCGCAGCGCGGGAGGAGTTGCCCGCGCCCGCTGACGGGCAGCCGCCGCTGCCCTCGCGGCAGGCGCTCGACGCGACCGTGGCATCGTTGGGCAGAGAGGCCCCCAGCAGGGCTGCCGCTGTGGCGGCCTCGCTGCAGCAGGAGAACGCCGCAGCGACGGCACCTGTCGCAGGAGGCCACGGCGGGGTCACCATGGCGCAGACCTCGCCAAGGGCCGGGGTTGCGGTCGCAGCAGAGCTGGTCCGGGAAACGCACGGCGCAATTGCGCCCTCACGAGCCGTTGCCAGAGAAGCTCCCAGCACAGCCACCGTCGCGCCAGCCTCGCCGAAGCCAGGGGCCATGGCCGCACCAGCGCCTGGCAGAGATGCGCACGGCGGGGTTAGCAGTGCACGGGCTTCGCCGAGGGCGCGGCCTGCTGCCGTAGCGGGGCCAGTCCCGGAAGCGCACGGTGCCACCGCACCCACATGTGCCCAGGCCGCAGAGGCTCCCGGCACGGCCACTGCCTTGCCGGCCCCGCCGCAGCCAGTAGGGGCCATGGCCGCGCCGGCGCCAGCAGCTGCAGAGGCGCGCGGCGGGAGCACCCCTGCGCAGCCCCCGCCGAGGGCGGAGCCTGCCGCCGCAGCGGCGCCGCGCGACGGAGCGCACGGCGCCGCCGCCCCCGCGCGCGCGGCACGCGGCGGGGCCACCGCCGCGCAGGCGGCGCCGAGGCCCGGGCTGCTCGCCGCGGCCGCGCTCGCCGGCGGCGCCGCCGCCGCGCAGGCCTCGGCGGAGGCGGTGCCGGCGGCCCGCGGCGCACGCGTGGCCTCTGCGGCGCCGGCCCGGGCAGCGGCGGCCAGGGCCGCCACCAGGCGATCGCCCTGAACCCAGACCCTCTCGAGCAATGAAAAAACCACGACGGGAAGGTTGTCGCTAGGTTCGGCCGCTGGGGGCACTTCCCGGGGCCCGGGACTGTGAGAGGACGACTCAGGGTGAAAAACCGTCCCAGGGGAATGGGTCCAGACCTCTGGGGGTCGACATCATGAAAAACCCATGACGTCGGGGGCCTCGGTAGCGCACAAGGAGTGGTCCGACCTTCCCTGAGGTCCTGGCGTGGCAATGTTTTCCACACCGGGCGTGTCCGCTCGATTTCGGGCCCGGGGGGCCCTTACAGATCGATGCGGCTCGATGTGATGGTCGGGAAGGGCCTGGGGCTCGAGAAATGACGTCGTGGGTCTGGGAAGCAAGCTTGATCTCCGACGAGTTGGTGGTGTCTCGGTGTCCTCGCGGTCGGCTCCGGGGGCCAGTCCGCGGGCCCGGGGGCAGGGACGACTCCGGGCGAAGGCTGACCCCCGAGGAAGGGGCCGGGGCCTCTCTTCAAGCAGTGGCGATGCGTCCCTGCTCGCCTATAGGCCCACCAAAGGATGCTCTGAGAACATGTTGTGGTCTGCACGAAATGTGCTTAGGACCTTCCGGGCCGAGACTGTCTTGTGTCATCACATCGGGGTTCTGGTATGAGAACATTGTTCTTGTTCTTAGAAGAACAAGTCGTGGTAGGCCTGTAGAACTGCCGGGACGGTCGGCCCCTGCTCCATCTCCGGGACCGCGGATGGACAGCGTGCACGTCGGCGGATCTCAGGGTCGAGTTCTTGAGGTTGCTCGCCCGTCCCGAGCTCAACCCTGGGCCCGCCTCGGGCCCCAGGCGTATGGACTCAGGATGAAGAGCTCGGGGGCGGCGAAGAGGGGGGTGGTGACTGGGGGGGGGGGGGACATCCTGGCGGGGCCCAGGACATCTCCCCAGATCTCATGGCGCCTCCTCGTATTGCAACACCTCCCTGGCCCCCACCCGCCCCCCGGGCCGCGCTCCTGCCGCCGGCCACGATTGGCGCCCCCCCCCCTCTTGGACACGCCCCTCCTGGCCGTCCCCGGAGAGCTGGTCCCGGGGGGGGGGTCAGGGAGGAGCCCATGCACCGGGGCCCGTCTCCCTCCGGACACGCGGTTCTGCCCCCCTTTCCCGTCCCGCAGGCGGGACGCGTCTGAGCCCAGCTCCTGCAGCAGCTCCCCTCGTGGCGCGCAGGCCCCGCGCACTTCTCTGTCTCCCTCTCTCTTTCTCTCTCTCTCTCTCTCGTTCTCTCTCTCTCTCTCTCTCTCCCTCTCTCTCTCTCTCTCTCTCTCTCTCTCTCTCTCTCTATATATATATATATATGTATGAGTTATCTCTTTATGTTTTCTTCATGGTCCAAATAGGTTTGCCATATACGAGTTCTAACCCACACCTTACGCCGATACCTCACATCTAACTCCTGTGCCTACGCCTACGCCTATGCCTATGCTTATGCCTATGCACCACCTCTGAGCGCTCCTATGCCTATGCTTATGCCTATGTTTCCATTGCTCGATTGCTTGCTTGCTTGCTTGCTTGCTTGCTTGCTTGCTTGCTTGCTTGCGCGCTTGCTTGCTTGCTTGCTTGCACGCTTGCGCGCTTGCTTGCACGTTTGCTTGCGCGCTTGCTTGCACGTTTGCTTGCTTGCTGAGTTGCGAATTCCAAGCATTCCCTTGGTTTGAGTCGTCTATTCTCAACGCTGGCTGATATACTTATTTGCATATATATATATAATATCTGATATAATATTTATATAGATGTGTGTGTACATGTGGCTGCCTCTCTCTCTGTCCTTTTCTCTCACTTTCTCTCTGTCTCCCTTTCTCTGTCTCTGCCTCTTTCTGCTTCTCGTTCTCTCTCTCTCTCGCCCCCCATATATGTCTCTATCTTTCTCTCTCTCTCTCTCTTTTCTCCCTTTCTCTCTGTCTCTCTCTCTCTCTCTCTCTTTCGCTCCCGCTGTGCGGCGTCCTATTTGTTTTCTCTCTCTCTCTCTCTATCTCCCTGGCGAGAAGAGGACAGAGGCAAGCCAAGCAGCAACAGAGCAGAGGCCGTGGTTGAATCGTCCCGCCCACACCACCCACGCCACACCCGCCCGCTGGCCAGCACTCTGGCACGCCCGGCGCTGCGCGGCCTGCACCCCAAGGAGACAGGAGGCAGCGGGGGCGCGGAGGAGGAGAGGGAATAAGGAGGGGGAGGAGGAGGAGGAGGAGGAGGAGGAGGAGGAGGAGGAGAGATGAGGAGGAGATGAGGAGGAGAAGTGAGTGAAGGAGGAGGAGGAGGGAGAGGTGAAGGAGGGAGGGGGAGGGAGGATGAGGAGGAGAGGAGGAGGAGGAGGAGGAGGAGTTGAAGGAGGAGGGTGAAGGTGAGGAGAGGGAGTGAGGAGGAGGAGGAGGAGGAGGAGGGGAGGAGGAGGAGGAGGCAGCGGGGGGCGAGGCGCGAGGCGCGAGGCGCGAGCCGCTCGCTGCGGCAGGGGCGGCCCGGCAAGGCACAGGGAGGGCGGCGGGGGGGGGAGAGGGGACCGGAGCCGAAGCGAAGCGGCGGGCCGTGCGGGAGCTGGCGCTGCCGCGAGCGATCGGGCAAGCTGCAGTGGGCAGCGCGGGCGGCAGGAATGCGGGGCGTCTGCTGAGAGAATCGATTAGACGTAAGAGTGACCTTTCGCCGGAGTGACCTTTGGTGCGGGCACAGATGGGTCCCCAGATGGCTGAAAACGAAGCAGGAGCAGCGGCTTGCGCGCCCAGGTTTGGCCCCCCCGCGGCCCCCGAAAGGCCGCGCACCAAAGGTCACTCTTACCCAGGGTCACTCTTGCGTGTAGCCGAGAGAAGGGGGCGTCGTGGCTTCGCTCACGGAGGCCACGCGGAGCTGGCCAATCGCACGCAGACCTGAGCCCCGTGGCCCATGCCGCAACAGGCTGCGGCTCGGGCCGG